TGGTGGTGGGGGCGGGGGGGGTTGGGGGTGGTGGGAGTGTTTGACAATTGGAAGAATTTTAGTGATGTTATGTTAAGTTCTGAATGCTCTTTTCCAGTTACTTGAACATTTATCTCTTTATGTGGAAACATGTGCTTATTTGCTCGAGCCTCCACTGATCTCATTCATGATGCTTTCTGAAGCCAGCCCCTCATAGCTCCATCTTGACCCGAAAGAGAGTAAGGAGAAAGGGAGCAGAATGATCTCACCATAAAGTATTAAAGTTTAAGTTAACACCTGTACTAAGAAGTGAAATTGTTACCTGCTATATGAGCAAATTTGTGCGTCCTAATGTGCTTATTGTTTCAAATCTGAGGCATCCGACGTTTGTTAAAGATTAGAGGAATTTCTTTAGCTTTAGCATGTAGGCAGTAAGATGACTTTTACTTAATGCAGTAGAGAAAACCTGTATTCTGCATAGGAAGATGCTGCCTAAGACAAGGGGCGGTTTGATTACTTTGATAAAGCATAGTCTTTCCATCCTGGCTAACGTTTCTGGAGGGTTCTTACAATTTCATCCCATCAGCAAGCAGCTTCTTCTCGGTGATAATATCAGAGAAGATGTTGAATTTGTTATATCATTTCTTGTGCTTCAACATAATATTTTATTTCGCTGTTGCAGAAGAGAGGTTCTCGCTGGAGGAATGGGGAGACACCTGAGGTGTTGCCTACATCACATGCCAAGTGAGATCCCTGATGATTAATGTATTAGATGTGTGTTATGTTTGTTCTGGTCGAGTATCTTATTGTGTGCTTCTCACATTTCTACAGACTTCATCAGCTTTTCTTGGAGGAACGCATTGAAAATGGTATAAATGTTCCTGCACATCGTGTGAAGCTGAAAAGAAAGCTGAATGGATTTCCATTTGACCCAAAAACTGGAAAGAGCTACATGAACAAGTTCTTGGAGGCTACTTCGCCAGAGCATAGAGTAGTCCATGAAATTGGTATCGATTCATCACCTTTGAGATTGACATCAACTGATGCTTATGAAACTTCGATGGACACTGAAGATATTAGACCACCGAGTCCTGATAAAGAGGTGATGCGGAGGAACAAGAGTGCATCTTCATCTCATTCTCCACCACAAAGTGAAGAGAGCAATGCTCTAAAAACATGCTTAGATGAAGTCGTTGAGGATCTCTACCACGATCAAATTCGAGAAATTTCCAGACCAAACCAGACTTTGCAATCAACTGATTTATTGCCATCTACATATAGCATGGTTGATGAAAAGGAAATAGGAATGGATGGAGAAAGCCGAACAGAAGGAAGTGTTGGTTGTGAGTCTGATGATGTTGCAAGTGAAATAGATAATTATGTAGATGCCCTAACCACAATGGAGTCAGAATTAGAAACAGACTCCGAGCAGAGAGCCAGAAGGGATTTGCACTTTTTGAACAGCAAAAATGAAGTGTTACGTCTGTCTTCTAGCAGTGAGAAGCGTCAAACTCAATCTTCAGGTTCTCACTCAATGGGGAACTCTACATTATCTGATGATGGGAATAGTTATTCTAAGAAGGAAATATCTAGTTTTTCTTGTTCTGATTCCCCTAGCACTTCTGTTGAAAGTGTCCTTTTGGAGAGCGAAATTTCTAGTAAGGAAGCAAAGACATCTGACATTTCATATGATCGGCAATCTGTTAATGAGACTACTCAATTGCCCCAGCCTCCAGAACATGGTGATTATGATAAAAGATGCATTATGGTAGCTAGGGAACACAGTGGCAGTTGCGACTCTGGTGAGCCAACCACAACCCTTAGTTTTACAGATTCAACTCCTATGTCACAATACATGCTTATGCAGGAATATTTTTGGAAGTTGCAGGGATGAGAGCTGAAACAAATGAAGAGTTTGTCACCCATGGCAAGAGTGAAAACCCTTTAGCTAGCATTGCAGAAGATGCAGCAGATTTGCATGTCAGTCCACCCTGTGCTCCTATTATCTTTAATGCGCCAGAACGAAATGGAGATGATTCACCATCTAGAGCATCCATTGAAGACAAGCTAGCAGATGATTCGATTGATGGAAATTTGAGTGTAGGTGAGAATGTGTCTTGTGCATCAAATCCTTCTGATGTTCCTCGCCGCGCCAGCGGTATCTTGCCGTGGTCAAAATCTCCTAAAGTCCAGCGCAAAAGCAAGTTAGATAATGATGCAGATTTGCATGTCAGTCCACCCTGTGCTCCTGTTATCTTCAAGGCACCAGAACAGAACGGAGATGATTCTCCATCTAGAGTATCCATTGAAGACAAGCTAGCAGATGATTCGGTTGATGGAAATTTGTGTGTAGGTGAGAATGTGTCTCGTGCATCAAATCCTTCTGATGCTCCTCGCCGCGCCACTGGTAACTTGCCATGGTCAAAATCTCCTAAAATCCAGCATGAAAGCAAGTTAGATAATGATGATATGAATCTGGTTAGTAATCTTCCCTTTACTTCTGAGCTCCTAAATGTTCCTTCTCAAGACAGGCATAAATTGTTGTCTTCTGATAATCAGCAGTTGCACAATTTGGACTGTGAGGATCCATTGTTGGGTGAAGATTTAAGCTGCTTATATAATCTCTCTGATGGTCCATCAAAAGAAGGTGACACCTCACCTTCATCGTTGGCTGTAAACCATCCAAATCATCTGAATGGTTTAGGCAATGAGAATTCAAATGGTATTTCTGAGGGTTCAGCTCAAATGCTGGATATATCGGGTGCTCCTCACAAAGCATGTGGCAAACACTCATGGTTTACCATGTCTCATGATAAAACTGCTGAAGATACATACATGAAAAAGCCACATAACCTGACCACCACAGAGATTGAAGCTGGTGATGCAGATGGAGAGCATGAAGAGACGTGTGGGGCATTTAGTGATGCAGTTACATCTGAGCCGGGAGACATCAGTAAGAACTGTGGAGTAGATGACCTCAATTTGGTTGATGTGCTGAACCCTCAGATTCCAGAAATTGCAAATGATATTCAGCCCCTTGAATCTGGAAAAGTGGAGATTTCATGTTCTAAGCAGGAAAATTATGATGAAGTATCAAGTATGACGAAATTTGAGCAAAAAGATAGTATTGTCCCCAGTGAGCTTTTGTATGCAAGTGCATCTACTGGTTCAATTACCTCTCAACATCTCGAATCATTGACCAAAGAAGCAATACTCTCAGATGAGACAGAACATAAGATAGATAAATCTGATGTCACAGATGAGACTGCTTCTCTTGCTGGCTTGGCTTATAAAGAAGATGTTGATGATCTACACTCATCTTTAGATCAGAAAAGGTTTTCAGAAGAATCTGTTTGCTTAATTGGACATTCCAGCCAGAATGAATTGGAAACTGATCTACCTGCTGGCCATGTAGAATCAAAGTTCGAGATACAGATAGCTGATTCCCCAGATTCTAATTCCTTCGTGCATGATGCATCCAACTATCATCATCCCGAGTCAGAGGTTCTTGACACTCTTTCTGACAACAAACTTTCTTTTGATGCTGAAAACATGTTGGAATCAAACACTGCTTCCAGTCAGTCACCATTAAGCTTGGATACTGAACAAGTATCCTCCCAAAGGAAGAATGTTGTTGATTCCACTGAAGATGCTTCATCATTGCAAACTATTTCTCTTGAAGAAGGAAAGGATGAATTAAAAGATGATCAACTCAATGAGGAATTGCTGGACAATGATGAATCACCTCTCATGGAGCAAATGCAGCCTTCAAGTCATGTTGACCGAGCATTGGATGCTTCTTCCCTATCTTTGCTGCCAAATCTTCCAAGTCAAGATGCAGTGCCAGATGTTATAGCCCACAGCAGCAATCAAGATCCTCAACCCTTGCTAACTGATAACTGTGCAGAAGAGAGGGATGAGTCAGCAATCCACGAGCATGATAAAATGGAGGTGCTGGATAATGGTGAGTCGAAGTCAGAGCCATTAGCTCTGTTAGCCCAGCCACAACAGGTGGATTCATTTGACCTTGAACAATCTGCTGAAGCTTCTTCAATTGCTTCACCAACATTTAGTCCCAGTCAACCTTCATTTCCAGAGCTTTTATCACAGAGCAATCAAGACAGTTTGACATCTTTGCCAACCCACCACTCTGACAAAAAAGAGGACGAGATACCATGTAAAGAACCAGATGAAGAGAAATTGATAGATGAAGGTGTTGCTAAAGAGGAGCTGTTACCTCAGTTTGAAGAGGCACACCTCTCCAATCATGCTGATATAGTTGAAGCCATCAATGCTTCTTCTATACCACTTATGGCAAATGTTCCTTGTCAAACTTCAGTTTCGAATCCCTTACCTCTTAGCAGCCATAATGTTAATCCTTTTGAACACGGGAATACAATGATTTCTACCTCTCCTGGCTTTCTCCTGCTTCCTGGTGAACCCCAGATCGATCTGGCGGAAATGCCCCCATTGCCTCCTCTTCCTCCAATTCAATGGAGGATGGGCAAATTACATTCTTCCCCTGATTTGGATAAGGAGCTAACACAGCATAATATAGGCGCCAATTCATCAAGTCTGCCAGCTAGGACTGATCAGAATGCTCAACCTGTGAATCGAAACATGGCACTGTCAGCTGTAGCTACAGAGAGTACAGCTCTTAGTTGTGGAAACAGTGGAGTTAGGTTTATTGATCCAGGTGATAAACACTCTGCAAACCCTCACTTCCCATTGCCAGGTCAATATCATGAGGTGCAGCAGTCTACTTTGCATGCCATGAGAGGAGGGGAAACACAGCCTGTTAATTCTATCTCAGATGTAACTTCTCTTGATAAACCTTCTACTGATGCTTTGGGTTCAAGTGAAGAACTTATCCAACCACTGAGTCGAGTTGCTCCAGAATTTCTTGCAGACGAACAAGGCTCTGATCATTTGGAACAACACATGCCAGTAACTGATGGAATAAAACCAAAAGCAGCTCCTATAAATACAGGGCTTACAGACACTTCTGAGTCATTATGCCATGAACCATCTCAGCCCCAGTTCCAGTCCCAGTCCCAGCATCATCCCCTCCATCAGTTAGCACCGGAGACTAGCTTAAACAGATCCAATTTTGAAGAGACCCCCACAAGATTGGAGAAAAATGTGGCGGCTCACGGCACAATTATTCCATCATTTACAGAAAATGCAAAGCCTGATCACAGTATTCCAACTACAGAGGCGGAAATTATTTGGCCAGCTGTGGAGGAAGGAAACGCTAATGGGATCCGCATGGTGAAACTACAAAGACCACGGACTCCACTAATTGACGATCTTGCTGTGCATGACAAAAGCAAAGTAAGTTTTGCTTCTTTTTGGTCAAACTTGGAGAGTACAGTGTTGTTAAACTTCACGTCTCTAACATTAATCATTGTGCAGTTGAGAAAGGTAACAGAGCGGGTTAGGCCTGAAATACAGAAGGATGATGAAAGAGATTCTCTCTTGGAACAAATAAGGAAAAAGGTAAGACTGGGCATCAGTTTAATTATTGTTTATTTAGCTTTGTTTTCTACGTTCATAGTTTTCATATTCTTAGTTGGTAACTATTTGTCCAAGCTAAACGTTGAGCATCTTCTTGCTTTTCCAGTCATTCAATTTGAAACCTACAGTTGCAACAAGACCTAGTATTCAGGGTCCTCAAACTAATCTGAGAGTTGCTGCCATTTTGGAGAAAGCAAAAACAATTCGCCAGGTCAGTCTCTCTCTCTCTCTCTGTGTGTCTCTTATATGCGCGTGTCTGTGTGTGTGTGCACGCGGATGCAAGGGAATAAATATGAATCAAGTGAGCCTCTGCATATCATTGGTGCTAAGGTTTCCTATATTACAGGCCTTTGCTGGAAGTGATGAAGAAGATGATGAGTATTCTTGGAGTGATTCATGAAATTATCTAGCACTATGACAAATTCTTAGTGCCATGGATTCCAAAAAATCTGTTACCACATTCTTGGTGATCAAGCTGACAGTGAAACAGATTTAAGTGTCTCTCTCTTCTCAGAATATTCCATGGTTCTCTCACCCATTGTAAAATACGCTCTCCCACTCCTTTCTCCCTCTCTATATAGCATGTAGCCAATTGTTAGTGTTGTATTCATTCCATAGTATGAAAAGTATATTCAATCATGAGATCGCGTGTAAGCGCGCTGTTATTCATTTTTCATGTTAAGGCAGTTATGTATTGCATCTCTTGTTTACAAAGTTAGTGTAAAGGGCCTGGTCAATTTTTGTATCTACCATATAGTAGTAGTGGCTTTGCTTTGTCTGGATTGAGAGAGTATTTACATTGTAACTGTTGAAATTTAGCGTATACGTCAGTCAAACAATTCTGCTGTGTATAAAGTACTGATATTTTGCACAGGTTCTTGGACTTGGTAACATCCCTCGGTTACTTTGATTTGAAAGAATGAATCAAATGTTTTCGTAACTTAACTTATGACAATATTGGCAGGGAGTAAATCTGGAAAAGCACTTGTTTTTGGCTTGCTGCTTTGGGCTGAGATGTTCACTGAAGATAGCCGTTTCTCACGTTATCTCCACCCCCCCCCAAAACCCCAACCCACCCCCAAGCCCACCCCCCCAAACAAAACGAGCGAGAAGCATTCTTGCAATTGATTATCGTGGGCGGTGACGGAGTTGATGTATCAGTATTTTCATGGTCTTTATGCTCTTTCCTTATGTTTTTGAAGTATCTCACCAATTCTTATGTGTAGCATGAGAGTTGAGTGTAAGAAGGGATTTTACATGGTTCCGGTATCCATTGCAAATGTTTCATTTTCTTTAGTAACTAGTGAATTGGATAACATTTTAAATAATATTTTGTTGAATTTACTTGAGATAACATACATAGTTTTATCCATAAGCATATATAAATGGATTATATCACAAATCGAGTTTTTTTATCATCATGATGTCACGACCCTAAACCCATACCCGGTTGTGATGGCGCCTCTCGTGAAGACAAGGCCAGCCGACACATCTCCAATTTGAAGTCAAGCAGCTAAACAACAATAAAATAGGCTAAAACATGATTTAGTAATTTTTAGACAGCAGATGATACCATAACAATGCGGAAGTACAACCCAAACACAACCCAAACCAGGGTGTCACAAGTCATGAGCATCTACTAAGTCTAAATACAACTGACAAGGTCTGAAATATAATCAGAACAGTCTAATAGAACGAAGAAAGAGAAAGCAGTGCTGCGAGCGCCGGCAGCTACCTTGCTAACTCCACTGACAACTGCTACCAAGCTTAGAAAAATACTTGAATTTGCACACAAGGTGCAGGGAGTAAAATGAGTACTGCCAACTCAGTGAGTAATAAAGGTAAATAACAACTGAGCAGTAAGAAATCACATAAAGCATATCAACATGCTGTATAGAAGCAATATAAAATCAATTAAGAAAGCAATGAAGCTGTGAAATCTCTTAAAAACATCTTAGCTCAGTTCAAACTTCCTTTAAAAATGACTTTTCAACAGTTATGCAAATGAATGCAAAGCAATTAGTGCAGATAAGCACAGAAAATCCGCCCCTCGGGCACAAATACCATAGTTTAACAGGTGAAATGACAAGTAAATATGAAAGATAGCACATAACGGTTTGCCCCTCGGGACCAATGTCAACAACTCCGCCCCTCGGGCAATATCTCAGAACAATACCAGCCCCTCGGGCTATCACATAGAACGGTACCAGCCCCTCGGGCAATCACACAGAATAATACCAGCCCCTCGGGCTATCACATAGTACAATATCAGCCCCTCGGGCTATATCTCACATCACAATGGGTACCCGCGCTCACTGGGGGTGTGCAGACTCCTGGAGGGGCCCTTTACGGCCCAAGCGCAATATCAAACCATCTCATGGCATCATAAACAGGTCCTCGACCTCATATCAATCAGTGTATCACCGCTGCGGCGTGCAGCCCGATCCCAAACATATGTATCACCGCTGCGGTGTGCAGCCCGATCCCAAAGATATGTATCACCGCTGCGGCGTGCAGCCCGATCCCAAAGATATGTATCACCGCTGCGGCGTGCAGCCCGATCCCAAAGATACCCTCACAACACAGGCCCTCGGCCTTACTCAGTCAAAAATCACGTAAGCCTCTCGGGCAACAGTAAAACAGTATTTCTCAGCCCAAAACATCATTTAAATATCATTTGAGTATTAAAATAGAGTAAACATGGCTGAGTTTTGAAAACAGTGGAAATAACATGACTGAGTTCAAGTATAAAGTCAAAAACAGTAAGGAAAACATCAACAACAATCCCCGAAGGGTGCAAATAATTGGCAAGGAGCTCAAATATGGCATTCAGCCCAAATAATGATGATAGCAAATAGATTTCAATCAAATATGTGGTAAAATCATCAATCGGGATGGACTAAGTCCCCAACGGTGCTCTACCCCACGCTCGCTATCCGGCGTGCAAGTCACCTCAACATAGCACTACGATGTGCAATCCGAGGTTTCAAACCCTCAGAGCATCATTTACAATCATTACTCACCTCGAACCGGATAAATCTCTAGCTCGCGACGCCTTTGCCCCTCGAATCGGCCTCCACGCGCGTCGAATCTACCCAAAATCAGAACGAATACATCACAATATGCTAAGGGAACAAAGCCCAAGCAAAAACATTCGAAAAATACCAAAAATCCCGAAATTAGCAAAACCCGAGCCTCGGGCCCACTTCTCGAAACTCAAAAATTTTTATATCAACGGGTTCCTTATCTCCCCACGAGTTCATACATACCAAAAGTTCAAATCCGACCCCAATTGGTCCTCCAAATCCCCAATTCAAAATTCTAAAATCCCAAGCCCTAGTTCTTCAATTTTTAGCTTAAGTTCCATAATTTTCTAGGTAGATTCCACAATAGAAACGAGTTTTAAGTTTAAAAATCTTACCTCCAATCGATTTCCCTTGAATCCCTCTTTAATCTCCACCAAGAAGCTCTCAAAATGATTAACTATGGGTGAAAATAGACCCAAAATCGCGGATGAAATGAAATTATAACATTCTGCCCAGCTCTGGTTTTCCTTCATCGCGATCGCGGCACTAGCCTCGCGATCGCTCGTTCTTATCATGGTAAGGTGTACTTTAGGGGTGGAAAATAGGCAGGGAGGGTCGGATATGAGCGGGTCGAAAATGGGTAATTCAAAAAATGGATAAATTATCCGACCCGAGCCGTATTTTAGATGGATAAAAATGGATTATCCGGCGGATAATATGGATATTCATATTATCCATGTCTTTTTGAGTATGATCACTTGTGGGAGAATTTCTAGTCTTTCAAACTTAAGGAACCCCCAATTTGAGGCTTTACAAATGTAAAAGTTAAACACATTAGTTATCCACTGGTTATCTATTTGGTTAACCATTTTCTAAGTGGATAATATGGTTCTTATCCATATTCGATCTATTTTCAAAAAGTTCATTATTCAACCCATTTTTTAATGGATAATATGGGTGGATAAGTATTTTCTTTTAACTATTTTGCCACCTCTAGTGTACTTCCTCGGTTTCTTGAAAGGCCAATACCCATAAGTGCGGCCCATTTCCTAGTCTAATTTATCCGGGAGATTGACATAAAGGGATTTTTCGAGGCTGGTTGTCACGATCCAATTCTATTATAGGTCGTGATGGCGCCCAACGTCGCCTCTAGGCAAGCTAACAATGAACTAACCACGTGATTTCTCTTTTTAATAGGTTTCCAAGTAGTTAAACTTTCCTTAATTTAAAAGATTTAAGAAATAACAGATTTAAAATAAATAAAACGAGAGTAGCTGAGTGCAATCATAACCATAAAAATAAACCAAAACCAAAAGTCTACTAGTTTGTGCCAAGATTTGGTGTCACAAATGTATGAGCAACTAGTAGAATATACAAAAGAATACTAGTTTACCGTCTGAAGTGAAATAGACAGAAAATACAAGCAAAAGAAAGACTCCGGCTGCTACAGAACAGGCGCAGAAGGGCAGCTCACAGCGAAGTCTCGGGAATTAGGGATGCGCACCGGACTAATATCCAGATGCACATGCCTCAGATCTTGCACATTTAGTGCAGAAGTGTAGCGTGAGTACATAAACAACATGTACCTAGTAAGTATCCAGTCTAACCTCGAAGAAGTAGTGACGAGGGGTCGACTTTAACACTTACTATGGGCTAACAATGAAATGTCAAAATTATAACTAAACATGGATTACATAAATATAGCTGAAAGCTAAATCACAGGAAAATAATAGGCAATCCTCTCGCTAATAATAAATCCCAAGTTTGTTTCCATCATTTAACAATTTATATCTCAAGCCAATGAAGCAATATCAATTTTAATTAGTTCCAAAGATTTACGCGCAATTTATGTCGAGGTCGTACGACTAGATCCAACATAAAATATTTAAACTGTGCACTGCCTAGAGTCTAACGGCACAAACCATAGATGCATCTATCTGCTACCGAGGCGTTCAGACCGCTCCACAAAATAGAAAATACTTTGTAACAGCCGATTTAAGATTTATTAAGAGACTAATATTTAAAGAAACATAAATTCTCAATAACAATCAAGTGACCCATCCAAGAATTAAAGTAAATGATATTTAACCTTTTAAAATTCTTTATTCAAGTCCCAACATGATTTAGGTAATTAAGTTAACAAGCAGGGTGCAAACATCGTAAGTGTCCTATACAACCCGGACAATAGCATAATTAGTAGCTACGTACGGACTCTCGTCACCTCGTGCGTACGTAGCCCCCACAAATAGGATCACATATTAATCAATTCACCTATGGGGTTAATTCCCTCTTACAAGGTTAGAAAAGAGACTTACCTCGTCTCAAAGCCTACTTTCCAGTACAAGATTGTGCTCAAACCCTCAATTCGGTGCCGAACAATCCAAACTAATCAAATGGTATATAAATTAATCAATACATGTTCGAAAGTTCATATTCCAACTATTAAAGTGATTACCCAACCCCAATGTAGGATTCCTAAAATTCACCGCCGGGCCCACGTTCCCGGATTCCGGAAATTTTCGAAGAAAGTTGTTACCCATAACCTCATGAACTCAAATATATGATTTTCTCTAAGTTCCATAACAAATTTCATGGTTAAATCCCATTTTTATCAAAAACCTAGGTTTTCCATCTAACCTATAAATTCCACAAATTTACATGTTAAAATCTACCCATAATCTATGTATTAAACTCACATTAGGTAGAAATTACTTACCCTCAATAGCTAGGTTGAAATCCCCATTTTTGAAGCTCCAAAATTGCCCAAGTGTGCGAAAAATGAGAGGAAAAGGCCTAAGTCCCGTTTTTAAAATGTTTCTGCCTAGGGATCCTTATACGCGATCGCGGCCAAGCACAC